TTTGTGACACTTTTTGTTCCACATATATATTGATTGTTAAACTGATTAGTCCATTTAAAGTCATCCATTTCAGAAATAATTAACTATTACCACTGGCAATTACACAAAATCATTGCTTCTGGCCCTTCGTGAGATTTAACTGACGTAGTTCTAGCTTAAACCACGTCAGCATATTTTTATCAATTTGCAGTAGTTGAGCAAGTGAATCGCCTGCAGCAATTGTTTTTGTGTGCGTGGCAAGAGAGTTCCCTATTATCTTGCCATCTAGGTTAGATTTTGATGGAAGGTTTAAACATCTTTTTGGTAGTTATTGGCTCTGGAAAATGTTAGAAATTATAAGATCACAAGAGGAGTTGGATGAATAAGATTTGTTGGCCCCTTTATCTCCCTTCAAGTATGAAGATTTTTTAAAAAAATGAATAACGTGTCCTGGCCTGAACCACTCTTCCTGGTATTTCTCTGGGTACCAAAATACTTCCTGGTTTCTGTTTTGAAATTCCCTTTGAAACCCGTAAACCCATGACCTCTTGTGTCTTGGTGCATCCCAAGCCATTGTTTTCGGTTTACTATTTCAATCCATTTAAAATTTAAATCCTGTGCACCTCTATAAGGTCGCCTCTGTCACACGCCCTCAATTAAGAAAACACAAAAAAAATTCAAATTTTTAATCATTTACTGCGTTTCACCCATAAAATACACAGTTACTCCACTTTGTAGTATATTCTATGAAGAGCTTCAAGACGTGATAAGGTGCTATATCAAATGCAAGCATTATTATTATCGTTATTTTGTCTAGATTGCTGCCCTGCTCACTTAACTTGTTCTGAAATCTATATATAATCATGGTATAAATTGACTACAAAACGTATCAGCTAAGGATCAAGACATTTTTTGTTTGCTTTGGCACAGCAACTCATTCAGAAAACGATGGTCTTGTGAATAATTCATGATTTGGTGGTGCTCACGACTAATTCTAGCTCTTAAACATTAAGTGCTTTTAATTTGGAAGTCGTCACCAAAGTCAGTAATTAAAGAATTCAAAATTGTTCACATTTTTAATGAAGATACAAATTATTTGGATTACTAATTTACCAATTAAGTAGGTGGTTTAGTTACAATGTACTTGACCTGGATTTTTAAAAGTTGTGTAATCAGAAAGCGATTCATTTTATAAGTCATCATTCTATATTTATACATTGGGAAAAAGAATGGATCATATTGCCTTGAGCTATGCTACACAGCCCCGAGAGAATGTAAAGATATGAATTGAAAATAATTAGGATTGACAACAGCTGGGACAGGGAATTTATTAACATCGTGAAGCTTTAATGCACAGATGGTGTCAGTAATTTTGCAGAAAACATGCTACAAACTTGCATCAGGGAGCACCTGAAGGAATTATTTATTCAGAAATTATTTGTTAAATGCAACATTGCTTGCACACAGAAAATATATAATTGTTGCTGGTTGTCATTAAAACCACTGTATTGTGTCTTTTTTCAAATCCTTCACCGGATTCACTGTAAAGTGTAGTAACTATTTTTAGGTGAACACAAATAAGGTTGGCCTTGGGGTTGTTACTGCTATACTGAATGATCAGACATTTAAGCATAAGAAATAGAAACTGTACATGATTAATAAAATGGGCTGTTTTATTCGTCACATAGTCCTTTTGTTAATTAATTCTCAACAAAGCAAAATAGCATAAATTCCCATCTCAAGTTTCCATCCTTTGTTATTGCCTTGGGATTTGTGCCCTTTTTACATCAGCATATTTATAATCAAACAAATAGAAAGAAAACATATTAAATTGAAATTAATTTCTAAAAAGACATCCTCTTAAATTAACAGGAATTGTCTATTCTGTAGCATTGGTTTGCAGTAGTAGATAGCTTACGTTTATATGTTCTATATGTATAGAATAGCTACAAGAGCTCTTAAAGCCCAGCACCGCACACAGACCCAGAGAGAGACACATACACCGAGAGAGACGACACCCACTCACAGACACGTTCTCAGAGAGAGACGCACACTCACATAGAGACACTCGTAAACTCATAGAGCGACACACACAGGCACACCCACAAACACACAGAGGAGAGGGAGACACAGACACATTCACACAGACACTCACAAACAACAAGATTACATTTGTATAGCGCCTTTCACAGTCCCAAGGCACTGAGAGAGACACAGACACACACACACTCACAAACAGAGAGAGATACAGATACACACGGACACTCACAAACAGAGAGAGACACAGGCACACACAAACACTCACAAACGCATATAGAGAGACTGCAGACAATCATACACTCACACACACAAACACACAGAGAGAGACACAGACATTCACAACAGCGGGGGCTCCGAGTGAGGCCCATTTGCCGCTCGTGTCACGCATGCACATCCAGAGCCACCCAGGCCACAGTGGCTTCAGGTAAACAGCCAGAAGGCCCGGACTTTGCAGCCGCACTTTTCTATTGGCCCCAGGTCATTGCTACTTTAAAGATCTATTTATCCAATGTTCCATCTGACCAAATAATGTAATGGCGACGTGTCAAGTATATTATGGTATTGGTGAGAGAGATAGATTGGGTATGGGTCTTAAAGGATCGCTGTAAAGAATCGCCAGCACAGAGATGGTGAGCTGAATAATAATCCTTGCATTTATTATAGTGCCTTATCACGTCTTCGAGACGTCTCAAAGTGCTTCACAGAATGTATTATAAAGTGAATTAACTATTTTGTGGGGAAAACTGTATATTTTGTGAATGGTCTTCTGCGCTGAAAATTTCTGTGGTTCTATTGCAGTCCATTTTTTAAAAAAAAAACAATTATGTGGGTTGTATCCATAGCCTGAGTAAAGTGGGAAATAAAGAAACCAATAAACCACACTGATTCAAGAGAGGAAACACAAGTAATGTGGCATTTATATTACAGAATGACTTCAGGAAGCAAATCTAGAATGTTGACTCCAACCCTCAAGTGATATAAAATTGCTGATTATGTTGCGGGTGGTATCTACAGCAGCAGGAAATAACATAACTAGAAGCTTATACATCTGCCTTTTGAACAATTTATCTGCAGCAATATCTTCTGTAAAAGTCAATTGTAGGTCAGTGAGCAAAAATCATTTCACTGGGCTGTGCAGGTGGGATGAGCTGCTCAACTTCTTTATAATATAACTAGGTCAGTATGGCAAATCCAAGTGTATGTATATGCCATCAGGGACAGCACTGCCTCGTGAGGTGCCCATGGCAACTTCCCCCATTAGTTGTTTACTGTATAAACAGTAGAACACACATTTTGCAAAGAAATTATACTGCTATGGATGGAATGTTTGGTTTACCAGTTAGTCTTGATACACATTTAAATAGGACTAACATTAGTTTGTGCTAAGTGATCATTTTCTTCACTCTCTAGACTGTCCAGATTTTACGCTTTCTTTGTCCTCACACCTCTGTACTGCTCAAAAATTAGTCCTGAGTCATGTGGGAAAACTTTCATCTTGAAAAGAAATTGCACAATTCAAATGTACTGGTTGATCTTTTCAAGCTCTCAGAATTGCTGACAAATTTAACGTCTCTCGTCGAGTCGATGTTCACATACATAAGTGTGGTCAAATAAGAAGTGAAGTCCTGTAGCTCAGTGGTTAGAGCGTTTGGCTCGCAATTGAGAGACCTGGCAGGGTGAAATGTTGGGTAAGTTTCTTTACTCCACACCCTTCTGTTTAGCTAGCGGTAAGTATAAATATAGCACAAATGTACAGTCAACTCACTTTACAGTATCTTCTGTGAAGCGCTTTGAGATGTCTAGAAGATGTGAAAAGCGCTTTATCAAATGCAAGGATTATTATCTACTTGCTGGTATTTGGCGATATCTCACTAAATCTGGTCTTTATAAAAACACTAATTGTAACATATGCCTCTTAGAATTTCAGCAGAGGGATTTTAAATAATTAACATAAACATTTTACTTTGCTTCCATTGGATTGCTTAATAATTCACTTAGTCATCAAGTACTTTACCTTGTGTATATATAATCTGCCATAAATATAATTTCAAAAGCCTTTGTTTAATACTTGCATCATTATCAAATGTACTGTCCCTGAAGGAAGTCAGAACTTTAGGAGAGCTGATGTACCTTGTGTTGCCAAAACAACTAGCGTTGTTCTGTATGTTAAGAGAGTTTTTTTTTCTGGATGATTTACTTTCTGAACGAACCATAAGAATTTTATTTGTTTGTATATAAACCGTAGTAAACAGATACCCTGGTTTTTTTTCAAATTTCTGCCATGTTACCTACATGGAGGAAGGGAAGTTTGAAGGACGGGTAGGTCTCCTTCCATGCAACGTTGAACCTTTTCAACTTTATCTTGCTGTTTCAGCTGATAATTGGGTACTTGATGTTCAGCTGGTTTTCCGGAATTTGTAGATAGTGGATTGAGCCACTGAAGAAATGATACTAGACTGAATCTAAACATAGATGTACGTTGACAAAATAAAATGTGTGCGTACTTTATCAAAGATGCAGGTAGTAACTGGTTTCAAACAACTGTGACAGTCCAGTATGAAGAGGATGAAGGGACATTTGCTGATTCACAATTAGGCTGTAATAAAAGGTCACTTACCTGGGTATAATGTGTTGGTCTTTAGTTAAACTAACTCAAGTACAAATAGCTTGTCATTGTGTCAACTAAAACCTGATCCATTCTAAATTCTTACCGATGAGACCATTTCTGGTGAAGGACACTGATAGTTGGGTAAAAATGTTGTTTGTGCTATTAAGCTGATAGTGTGGTGTTGAAAAACAGTGTTGATGTACATGGTTTAAAAAAAACATTTCCCACACTTCAAATAGTACCTTCTTTGTTGCTCTCCTTTGTATTAACTCTGGAATGTGGCCAAGGTGTAGCCTTTCCAGTGTGACTGTGATACTTTTATCTTGTTTATCAGAACAGCTACATTTTTAATTCTCTATATTATTTTCATTAGGCTTATGAAAAAAGATTCCCAACATGTCCACTCATCCCAATGTTTGTTGGTAGTGATCTCGTTAGTGAATACAAAAGTGAAGACGGTGCTGTTCATATTTTAGAAAGACGTTGTAAATTGGATGTGGATGCACCAAGACTACTGAAAAAGGTGAGTTTAGAAAGTATTTTGGGTTCAAAAATGTACATTATAGTGGAAATCAATGTAATCAGCTGAGGCTTAAAATCATGATAATTTTTATGATATTCAAATGAGTTTTTCAAGTTGTAATCCTTCTCGGAGCAGATATTTTTCTGAAGCTATCTGCCGTAGAAAGAGGGATTTTTATGAACCAGTTGATGTCTGTCCTGTCCAGTATTACTTAGCAGAAAAAAATATTTTTGCTTATTTCTTTTATTCTGATCAGGTGGTGCTATTGCAGTGAATGTTGCCCTCTGCTTTAGTTTGATGTTCTTTGAAAAAACATTGCTTACCGTGAACTTTAGTCCAGGTTACTTTTTGGCAGAAGGATGATAGGCGACAAATCACCTGAATGTTCCAAGAGCAGAGGACAAGAGTTATGTAGAGCAAACAAGAGCTATGTAGAGCAATTGTCTTTAGCACAATGTTACCATCTGCTGTTAGAAAAAGGTGCTGCACTTTTGGCCCAACAATTCAGACTTCAAACATTACAAGTAGCTGCATATCCAAGACATGGAAAATTCTTGAATTACTTGTGCAGCAGCCAGATCTTAGTTTCCTTCTGCCACCCTCTTCCGTTATTCACTGCTCCCTTCCTATTCACATTACCAGATTTTTGCCACAATAATCTACCACAGCCGTCGCCCATAGTAAAACAAGTTCAAGCAATATATTGTGACGTTAAATAATCCTTGCATTTGATATAGCGCTTTTCACGTCAGGAGGACGTCCCAAAGTGCTTCACAGAAGACACTGTAAAGTGTATATTTGTGTATATTTGTGGGCGAACGCGGCAGCCAATTGCGCACAGCAATGTCCCACAAACAGTCGTAGATTGAAAATGACCAATTTATTATTGTTTTTGGTTTTGGAGGGATTGTTATTAGGCTCTGTGTGGAGTAAGGAAACTTGCCAAGGTTTCGCCCTCTGCCTGGAATTGAACTCAGGTCTCTCGCTTGCAAAGCGAGTTCTCTAACCACTGAGCTACAGGACTCCACATTGGAAAGAGGAAGAGTGTAATAGGCATTGAGTGTGGAGGAAAAACAGGTCAATATGACAATATCATTTTTCCTAAATCCCACACTTCAAATAGCACCTTCTTAAAAGCTAGCTATTTGATGTATGGGATTTAGGAAACGTGGAACTATACAATTTAAAGCAAATGGTAATATTTGCTTTTGGTATGTAGTTTCTTCTAATTTTATTATAAATGTTTTAGTGAATGTTTTACACTAGTGATTGTGTGAGCAATCGAATGTGGGTTGTTTGTAGTTTTTAATGGACTGAATTAATTATTCGCTCGTAATTTATAAATGGTTTAGACATTCTTTTACCTAAATGGCACTCTATAGACGTATGTTGATGCATTTTCCAATTCCCTTTTAATGCTGCTATGACTAAAATGTTGATACTGATTAACTGTCAACTTGAAATATTTGCAGCTTGGTCAGCAGTTCACGCAATGATTGTGTTTCAGAGTAGTGAAGTTTTATTTGTCGTAGCTCTTTGGTTATTGTTGTTATCATTATCTAGATCGCAGGAGTTGATTACATCTACTTCGTCCAAAAGAATTCACTGAACAGACGGGAGAGGACTTTGAAGATAGAAGCCTTCAATGAAACCTTTGCCAACAGAGTTGTCATCAATGAATTTTGCTGTTACACTGTAAGTTATCGATTTCAAAATGTATTTGAATGCAGTATCCCCACTGGAAAAATATAGATGCAGTAAATGGAAATATTTGTCCAGCATGATTTTTTTTTAAAAAAGAGCATTTTGGCTTTTAAGCATTACTGTTAAAAATCAACATTTGTGTTTCTAATTATACTGACAGGTTCACCAAGATATTGAAGATTGGACTTGCTTTGAACAATCAGCAAGTCTTGACATCAAGTCTTTTTTTGGTTTTGAAAGTACCGTTGAGAAAATAGCAATGAAGCATTACACCAGCAGTATTAAAAAGGTATGAGTGTTTGGAAACAGCAGTTGTGAATAACTGCCTATTTTGTTACTAACCAAGTAAGTTGTATTAAATAAAAATTGCATTGTCTCAACTGTGCTGGAGGCGACATTAATGAGTCATTAATATGTGAAATCAAGAATATAATCAAGATATTTTGGCTTGTTGGAATAATTCATCCACTTAACATTTTTGACAAAGCCAATATTTGTCACTTCTGATTCTGATTACTTGTCACTTTTGATTCTTGATTGTTTATTAAGTGCAAGGAATGATGTCCATTTAACTCAACTTCAGTCCTGATTCTTGCAGTGTTTTATTCTTGGATTTTAATTTCAGACAGGAGCCATGTATGCAACCATGTTTTTTTATATAAAATATATACTTTTGTGAGGCTATGTTCCCCACTTTATTTGTTTTTCGACCTCTGCATTTCCAGCCAATAAGACAAACAGGTCACCTGCATCCAGACAGAAATTCTGTTCTGGCTGGTCAGACCTACATTCCACCACTATTGTGGCACAGTGTGTGGGTGATCAGCATGCCGTATCACTTAGCCACCCCCTCTTCTCCAGAGTATTGACAATGTGGAAAAATCTGTCTTGAGAACCAGCCTGATCAGAATGCTCTAACACTGTTTAAAGACTAAGTGCGAACCTTGTTTGCCTCAAGGTATTGATGTCTGTGATAACAGATAAGACCTTTTCTTGTGTGTTTTCCTAGACATCAATAGCTTGAAACAAACACACTTTGACTTAAAGACCTGATATTGCAAATATATTGAAATTTAATAATCCAATTGCTATTACGATACTGGCACACAGATAACATATATCTTGTGCGTACTTTGGCCCTAAAAGTTCTCCTTTAATGGACTTAAATTCCAAGAAAGCATACTACTTCGTTCTTACAGTTGTTTACATTTTATATTGAATGTTTCACCATTTCATTATAGTATAGGTTACATTTTTACTTTTTGTAGGGGAAGGAAATAATTGAATATTACCTGAAACAATTAGAGGAAGAAGGAATTACTTCTGTACCACGGTGGACCCCGACTGTTAGTAATCTAGAAATGCCAGTTCCTATCCAGAAACTGGCCTCATCCCCAGCAATGGCCATACCTGGCAGAGGTGACGCTGTTGGAAAGGAAGGACATAATAACAAAGACCTAATTACTGCCTCCAACAATTCACCTGATCCTCTCACAGGAACACCAGATGGTACAGCTCTAGCACTTTACTTTGCTGAGTGTTGTGTTGCATCACCTTGTTTGCATTTATTCATTAAGAAGCATTTTCATTTTTTATTATGTTCACGTATGTTCATAAGAAAATATGCGTATTTTACGTCTCCCATTTTTCTTTTTCTTCTCTGGACTAGATTTGGATAATGATTTAACCAAGTGTCTGCTTTTATTCTTTGCAATATTCTAACTCATGCCATTGAATTTTTGTGGATCCAAAGCTTCTATCCTTATTGTTTAAGCTTCAAACTTTCAGAGTTATATTGGCTTGCTTTGCATTACTTTTATTTTGTAACAAAAAAAATGCTGCAGAATGTATTTTGTAATATTTGGTCTAAACAACAACAAGATTACATTTGTATAGTCTAAAGCGTGTTTATAAAAAAACTGCTTGTTTGCAGAGGTTTCTATGTCTCCATGGAGCCAAAATAGTAGAGTGTATTTAATCAATTCAAGGATATTTGTTTCTCTTAATAATTTGAACTATCTTACCATAAAATTAGATTATTAAACAGTATAGTTAAATTTACGATACACAAACTTTACAAGTAGTTTATGCAATTTGTACTTGCAACATAAACTGCTAGTAAACATGTTTAGTCATTAGCTTTTCAGTTTTGAAATGTCAGATTCTGACCTGCAAAAGTGTCCTGTAGTCAAATTTGAAGAATATGTAACAATATGTAGGAATTAGTTAGATTCTGTGAAATAGAAATGCTACTGGAGTGCTCATATGGGTAATGAAATAATCAGTTATCTTCATTTAAAATCCATTTTTAAAAGAAAATGCATAGCTACCTATTAACAGATGACTTTGATCATCTTCCTTGTCATTTGTATGATGTGACGTTCTATCTGCATTGTAGATAAACTGGAAGCTGATTACATTGAGCGATATTTGGGTGATTTGACACCACTACAAGAGAGCTGTCTCATTAGGCTTCGAACATGGCTGCAGGAAACACACAAAGGCAAGGTACGTACTTGACTGTAAAGTTGCCTGCTGAAATAGCAAGGAAATGGTACATCTGGTAAATAATTTTTATTTTTTTTCAAGCATACAAACCCCAAGTCAAAGTTAACAAACATAATTGCATGTATCCTAGTCGGGTTTTATTTAATGTAAACATACATAGCCCATTAGGCTACATAATACTGATTATTTTTTAAAAAGCTTGTCGGGGTGCAGTGAAATACAGTTTTGTCTGGAAACAATATTTCTACTAGAGAGATATCTTGGCTGTTTTCTTGAGAAATCTAATAAAGAGCTGAGAATCCCAGAATTACACTTCCAAAATTAAGAGTGGGAGATGACGAGATAAATTTATGATTTAATAACCTGTATATTGTAGCTGGAAGGTTGCTGAGGGCGGTAGAACAGTATTAAAGTTCTGGAAAAGAATAAGTTAGAGGAGACAATGCTATGAATCTTTATTTGAATACCATAACTATGTAAATTAAAACACTAGAATAAATGTGGATGGCTGCTGATTTTGCTGTCAGGTGCATTTTAAGAAATTGAAATTTCTGTAACTTGTGATGGGAGTTTGACATTCAAATGTGAAATATGAACAAATTCTGTTCGGAGTAACTAGTTTGTGAGAAATAATGTGATGTAGCTTTAGAAGAAAGACATTGGAAGCTTTTATTCAGTTGGTTGATAAGAACAGTGCCTTAACTTTTCAGGTCAGTAAACATATTTGCTTTGGGTGTATTTTCAGATACCAAAAGATGAGCATATTCTGCGATTTCTAAGAGCACGTGACTTTAATATTGATAAAGCACGAGAGCTTCTGTGCCAGTCTCTGACATGGCGCAAACAGCACAAAGTAGATTACCTTTTAGATACCTGGACACCACCTCAATTTCTGCATGATTATTATACAGGGGGCTGGCATCACCACGACAAAGGTTAGTCTTTGTAATCGATCATTGCAAGCTTAAATTTCTATTTGATAGCAGTACATTTGTTTCAATGTTTTAGTTATTACAAGTTGTTGAATAAGTGATTATTTGGCTGTAATTGATGACCTTTATTGCTTTATTTATTGTAAAGAAATCAATGTCATTGCTGTAATGATTTTTTTCTTCAGATGGACGACCCCTATATATTTTGCGTTTGGGGCAAATGGATACCAAAGGTCTTGTCAGGGCCCTTGGAGAGGAGGCGTTGCTTCGACATGTAAGTATACTGTAAATACTGTGATAAATGCTTCAACAGTTAAAAATGGACAATAGAAAGTTTAGGTTTCCATTAGTTTCTTTGTGCATTGTATGCAGAAAAGTTACTCGCATCAGAATCATTGCATGGGGCACTAGCCCTTTATTGACTTGACTCACAAAGCATATACAGAACTAAAACTAAAGCTTCAGTCCTGGGTATATCCTGGTCCCCAGACCTTCAGGTAGAAGATTTGCCCACAAATATACAGTTAATTCACTTTATAGTATATTCTGTGAAGTGTTTTGAGACGTCTCGAATACATGATAAGGCACTGTATCAAATGCAAGGATTATTATTATTTTTATTCTAGAGGCAACTAGTGCCATGACTGAGGTCATTCTCCCCTCAACACTTAGTGTATCCCAGATATGATGCAGCTCACCATCCCTAAATAAATGCATGGATAAAGTGCCTCTTGGACATTTCCTAATCTAAGCAAGGACTGCAAAAACATCAGAGATGGAAAACACAAGGATCTATGGCTCCTTGCTGTGGGCCTTTAACACATAACTCTCTTCAATATCCTCCCCCACCCGCCCACCCACTTCAGCTGTAGGGAAAGGCTGAAACCCCTCATTAGCTTCCCGAATGCACTCTTGTTAAGAGTTCTCATGAAGCTCTTAGCACTTCAAACCATGAAAGTTGCACTTTAAGCAATAAAAAAGCCACTCGGAAAAGAGCAATAAAAACAATTTAAATATTTTGGATTTTTTTTATAAAGCTTTTCTGGTATGGAGAGAAATGGTGATTAATTGCATATGCTGGGAGCAGATTACAATAATTTAATATTGCTCATACAAGGTTTGCTGAAAATTAAGTATAAAAATGCACTTTGCAATCAAATACATTATCCTAATTTGACTGACAGTGACAGCAGAGATCACTTCCCGTGACTTTGTAATGGCTGTACTGTATAACGCTTTGTTATTCACCTTCATGCTGACTAGAACAATTTTCCAAACTCCCCTTTATTTAGTGTCTTGCACTCTAGTACCAGAGAGGTCAGGGAAGTAAGTCAGCTGCCAGGAAAACTGCAGAGAGCACCGGTTGAACTGCAATATACACAATAGAGATGGTTTCCAGGACAGCACAGAATGAACACAGAAGCTTGCATGTTCCTTCAGTAAGTTTGCATATCAGTGTCAGAAATTGATGGCAGACCTGCTAATCACTGGTCACGTGTGCACTCCAGTACAGCAAGTGTCAAATGGGAGGGAATGGGGAAAAAAGCAGATCAAGTAGTGAGCAGACAGGACATTCCCAATATAAATGTGAAGCCCACTTGCAAAAGTGTGCCATTTCCTATGTTCTTGCTTGATCTTTTCCTGTTCTCTTCCTATTCCTTTTCCTATTTTGGAGGCATTTTGCCGACAAAATATACAGTCAATTCACTTTAGAGCATATTCTGTGAAGCGCTTTGAGACGTCTTGAAGACGCGATAAGGCATTATATCAAATACTAGGAATATTATTATTTCTCAATTGTGCATTCTCCCTAAGTGTAACAACCTTCCTTATTTCAAAGACTATTGCTCAAATGCTTTGCTGCAGAGTCATACATTTTTCAAAAAATTGCACAGATAATTGCACAGGATTTTTCTTAAGAGAAAATCCAGTAAATAAAATTCAATGTTTTCCATAAAATTTAGCGTGCAAGTAAGTTGCGCCTTCATGCAAATTGTATGGCCTACAAAATTACGGTTCCGATTTGCACTCGTCCGGGCAATATTTTGCCACTCAGCTACCCAGTGCATTATGCAATTACATCTGTTTTACGTTAATTGCTTTTGCTGTTTTATTGCTTAATGTAAATGTCATAGTATTGGGCCTCCCAGTTGAACAGAGAAATGCTGTTTAAACAGATAACTCAATATGGAAACTTGACAACCGATCAGAACTGCCAAGTGGCGCATGAATCAATTGAATATTTGAACATCAGTGTTAGATTATTGAGAAGATGGAACAATATTAGCAGGAAGATAGATTTGTAATTAAGTAGATGTGTGACTTTGTTTAACATTTGTGTTTAGCTTTGATTTTAGGAATAGTTAAATTCCATACCTTCCCATCTTAAAGCTTTAGGCTTCTAATTTTGTAAAGGAAATTAGCAAAGTAATTTTAATTTCATTCTCCCCCTTTTTTTCCCCAAAACGTAATATTTTTCTCTGAAGCATTGTCCAAATAACCGAGTCATTTAAAATGCAGCTTGTAAATGTAATTATTTTTATTAAAGTTAAATTTGTGGGTGACTAGTTGTCCTCTTCAAGTGAAGAACCACGATACTTTTCCAATTTGGGGATATAGTATTCAACATCAGCATCTCCAGTGGTGGCTCTAAAGATGACACGAAAAATTATGTTGCCTAAAAATGCCCCCTAATGCTAAACCAAAATAGCCCACATGAGTAGAATTTTGGAACCCACTCAAAATAGCCAAATCAGGTGATTATCCTGTCAGACAATTAGACTATTGACAGAATCCGTGGTAGTTAAAATAAAGGGGGAGGGAAGAGAGAAAGAAACTGACTGACATTCAGAAAAACTTAAATTCAGAATAAATAAGTTGATGTGGTACTCTTGATTTCAAATCAGGTTTTGTCTATCAATGAAGAAGGATTAAGACGATGTGAAGAAAACACAAATGTGTTTGGAAGACCCATCAGGTAATCTCAAGATCCTTCTGCTGAATGTCTTAGTATGGAGTCCTGCAGCTCAGTGGTTAGAGCGCTTGCTCGCAAGTGGGAGATCTGGGTTTGATTCCCGGCAGTGCGAAATGCTGGACAAGTTTCCTTACTCCACACGCCTTTCTTTACCAAGCAGTAAGAAGGAGCCCGGTTGTCAAGTCGATTGGCAGATTGCTTTTCCGGAAGTAATAATTCCTTGAAACAAAATTGGTCACTCAATCAACGACTGTTTGTGGGACACTGTTGTCCGTGTTTTCCCCACAAAATATACAGTCAATTCACTTTACAGTATATTCTACGAAGCACTTTGAGACATCTCGAAGACGTGACAAGGCGCTATATCAAATGCAAGGATTTTTTTTTAAAGAGTCAACTGTATTTAATTTTTGATTCATCAATGCTTCTTATTAGCTTATTCAGCCTTTCGTGAGTGTCATTGTTTCTTTGTGTCTTCTTTAAATAGTTCCTGGACATGCTTGGTAGATTTAGAAGGTTTGAATATGAGACATCTTTGGCGTCCTGGTGTTAAAGCACTCTTGAGAATCATTGAAGTGGTTGAAGCTAACTATCCAGAAACATTGGGTCGACTTTTAATTCTCAGAGCACCTAGAGTGTTTCCAGTGCTTTGGACTTTGGTACGTCATTCTCTGATAAACAAACTACACATTTGTATTGTAATTTTCAAATCTTTTGTTGCTGTTTGTGTGAAGAACTGTCATTTGCTATCATGTTTGATTGCAGGTCAGTCCATTCATCGATGACAACACAAGAAAGAAATTCCTAATCTACGCAGGAAATGATTACCAGGGACCTGGAGGACTGGTGGATTACATAGACAAAGAAATCATCCCTGATTTCCTTGGCGGAGAATGTGTGGTAGGAATATACAATAGCAAAAATGTAATAGAATTTAGTGACAATTTATCAAAGCTAACTGAAAGAAGCACTGAAGGGTATAAAACTGAAGCTTACAAGTGGAAATGGATGTCACATTGAACTGTATTTAATAGCGATCAGCAGTTTCTTTGAGGCATTGTCTGTTACCAGTAATTTTATGTGACAGCAAATCTGCAGTTGCCTGCTACTTCACTGGAATGAAAAATGATTGCAGTCACTGATTAAACCAAATGGTATGACTTTGAAACAGTAAATCTGCTTGGGAATTTAGAATGTGGAAAATGATTAGAGACAGATTCATATGATGATGGATATGTATCTCAGGTAATATAAATTAAACTGTCACAAGACATGCTTGATTGCGCAAGTATGTTGCAGGCTTCTCTATACCGAGCTGTTCAGTATGTAATTTATTCCACAATGAGATAGACTAATTAACTCAGGAGTACAATTGTATGTTTCTATGTTGAATAACTTCTTCAAAGACTAGATATCAGGTTTCCTGTTGATACCAGTTATTTTAGTTCTGGACAGTTTAATTTTTCATGTCGTCTCCTAATAATCAGTTTTGAACACTCAATTACAGAAGTAACATCAAATCCATCAAGAAAGACTTCTCACTAGTTGATATTAAAGATAAATTTTATTTTATATTTGGTAAGACTGGTATCTGACACATGCACGGACCCATTACTATGCTTAAAGAGTCTCCAAACCAAACTACTGGAGGTTCTACAGATGCATTTTTTCTATCTGTCTGGCATGGATTATGCACTATCTATCCAGGGGGATGCACTTTGAATACCAAATATCAGACAGTTCAGGTACAGGTGGGCAAGAATCAAGTAGGGACCCCAGAGTATGTATTGGGTGGTGTATGTAGATACAAGTCAGGACTATTTTCACTAGAGTAGGAAAGGTAAAGGAGGAATTTCACTGAACAGTATCATTAAAACCAAAACTCTTGCTTATTCTTGTTTTTGTAGTGTGAGGTTCCAGAAGGTGGTCTCATTCCCAAGTCAATGTATAGGACAGCAGAAGAACTTGATAATGATGACATCAGGCTTTTGACAGAAACTATTTACCAATCTGCAAGCGTTTTCAAAGGATCACCTCATGAGGTAAAGATTTTGTGCCGGAAAAGTTGCAAATAAAATTCTTAATTCTTTAATGTTTTGTAACAAATGCTACAACTTGAAAGCTTGTTTGCAATTTAATGGGTGAATGCAGGCAGCGATGTTTTATATTTTGCGTTAACATTTTTTTCAGATATCAATTGAAATTGTGGAATCCTCTTCTGTGATAACCTGGGATTTTGATGTAGTAAAAGGTGACATTGTTTTTAACATCTATCACTCAAAGAGAGCACCTCAGCTTCCCAAAAAAGATACTCTTGGGGCCCATGGGATAACGTGTCCTGGGGGCAATAATGTGCAACTGATCGAAAAATCATGGCAACTGGGAATGGACTATAGCATGGTTGAATCTCCGTTCATCTGTAAAGAAGGAGAAAGTGTACAGGTTAGTTTTTGAGCGTTTAGAAAATGCATCTTGGTTTGGCACTGTTGAGTAAAATTTGGACTAGATCTCAGTATTTAAAGAATGATATTGACACACTGCTTCTCCCACAAAAATATGGTCAATTCACTTTACAGTATATACTGTGAAGCACTTTGAGACGTCACATTATTTACACTGCTGCAATGCACAATTTTCACACAAATTAATATGATTTTTGTTTTTCTGAAGCGATGGGTATGGATTTTATAAATTCAATGTCTTTGCTTGCAGGGATCACATGTAACAAGATGGCCTGGTTTCTACATTCTGCAATGGAAGTTTTACAATATGCCTTCCTGTGCTACAACCAACCTGCCTCGTGTGGATGATGTACTGGCAACCTTACAGGTTTCTTCACATAAGTGTAAAGTCATGTATTACACGGAGGTCATAGGATCAGAGGATTTCAGGTACCAACTGTATTTTGTCCTGTCTGTTTCAAGAAAGTATGTGAATCTCATATAACAAACCCCCCAAAAATTGAGAGTCAGCTATTTCAATTTGTCAGATACAATTAAGTCTCGTCTGATTTTTTTAGCAACTGTTTTTTAAACATTAGTGGTCTTATGAGGGTTTTGAATTTGCTCCCAAATGGGTGTGCAAAGAATACCTTATTTTCATTTTTGTGATGGGAAGAGTTATTAAATAAATCCCCTCTCAGCACAGGAACATTATAATACTGTTTTTATTTCAGGGGCTCGATGACCAGTCTTGAGTCCAGTCACAGTGGATTCTCCCAGCTCAGTGCTGCTACCACATCTTCCAGCCAGTCACACTCCAGCTCTATGATCTCCAGGTAGTGACACAGAATGCCAGCAATCAAAAGTACAAGGCAGGACCATTATATTGATGGCAGCTGATTGGAATGATGGTGCATCTTTGAAAATATATGTATATATATATATTTAACTCTACTAATGGAATCAGCACAATCAGCTCATTTCAGTTCTTTGTATTTTAGTTTTCTCCTTCACTTATGTATCCCCGTGTATCCATAATTTACAATCAAGAGATTTGTGAAATACATTCACCGTTTTTCATCTTTTAGTCAAATGCCATGAAGATGTAAATGTTTACAGCACTGTAGTTTCTAATAAGATATACTGCTTTTTTTTTTAAGTACTGTACTCTGAAACCTGTCTGCTCTGGAAATAGTTACTGAATCCTTGTGGAATGACTTACTTTAGGATTGTGTTCATATAATGCATTGAAAAAGCACAAAGTTTAAAGAATCGAATATATTGTACTTATTTTGAATTTATCACTTAAAAAAATAATAGTTGTAAAAAATTAAAGTTTATAATGTGAATTGTTACAAGCACACAGATATGGATGGTGTAGCTTTTACACTAAATTGGAAGAATAGATTCTTATAAGCATGATGTAGTTTTCTTCATATTTAAAACCATTGTTATAACCTGCTTAAACATAGTCAAATCTAAACATTTCATCTTTGTTAAAGAGCTGATCTTTAACTAACAATTTTTCTGTATAATTTCTTTATATGATTTATTTATCTATGTTTAATGTCCTAACACCAGTCGTGTTCTCATGACATGAAATCATTGTCTTGACATTTCCGTTCTGTCTACCTGTAATGGTATGTTACATATCAATCTTTGTTTTTGGAGCAATACGTGTTACCACTGGGTTGGTAACAAGTTATTCAAATATTCCTTAGATAGTTTCTTTTTAAATTAATAAACTTCGAAACTGATATGTTATTATTCAAGTCTTTGTATTGCATTTTATTTCTCTACTTTTAAAATGGGATTCTTGCACAATCCCAATTATTGATGAAAGGGGTATGTTGTTTATCAATAGCTAGTCACTTCGTGACATAGTGCCAACATGCCACCAATTGTCTACAACTGCTATTTTGTTTTTCTTAGGTTTTAAACAAATAACAGACCTTTGAGGAGCCCAGGCCTTTTGAAATAAAACCGCATTGGAAATATGCGTGCTGCAGCAGATGTTGACTGCAGCACAAATGCGATACAACCTCCGCAGAGATTCAAAAGGGAAAAAAAACATGAGACAAATCCCTAATGAAGCACTTCTGCTTTCTAAAATAATTTATGTAGTATACAACACCGTTAATCTTGTTTGGGGAGGAAAGAGGAGTTTACATTTGTTTTCATACACCTATGTCCACTGAAAGTCTACTAAAGATTGCCCACCAGATGGTGCTGTATTACTGAAAGATGAGGAATTGATGTCTGAAAAAAGATGTATAGATTGTGCTGAAACACCTGATATTTAGTAGCCAGGTCCTACTATCATAAGATTGCACACGATGTTTAGATAAAGTAGGCCCTTTTGGCCTTTTGATTTCTTTCCAGTCTCCTTTGAAACCTCTTGAGCTGTACGTTTAGTTGGAAAATCTGATTTTATCAGCAAAGCCATGAATTTCAATCGTAATCACCATGAAGAGATTTCAACAAATTGTTTTTAATATTAAAGAGCTGATCACACAACCAGCTCTTTTATAATATTGGAACCCGATTTGTTTTTTTGGCTGTGCATTACAATAATAATCCTTGTATTTGATACAGCGCCTTATCAAGTCTCTAAACACTTCCCAGAATATACGGTAAAGTGAATTTGCTGTATATTTTATGGGCGAAACGCGGCAGCTAATTGCGCACAGTATCACATAGGTATACTGTGGAAATATACCTTAGTTCCTAGCAGTATGGATCTGGCACTAGAAAAGCACAAATAGAAAATGTGTGGCAGCGCTCAGACTTTAGTCTTTTCTGCACGTACAGCATGCAGTTTGTTTTACATCACATGAATGTTTCTGTAGCGCTATGATCGAGATTGACTTTGATATTATTGAACTTTACAGCTTTGCAGTGTTGTCTAGCCCTTTAGGCTTCATGTTGGTAGGATTAATAAATTTTTTTAAAAAACCTATATTTCTAGTGAGGAATTGCATCTTGTTTACTTTTAATATAATAAAGAGAAAAATTAAGAGAGTAAATTGCGAAATGCTCATGGCCTGCGTCTTAATTAAAATGATCATTTAGAAATCCACAGCTCAGAAGAAGGCCCATCATCTAGGAAGTGTGACCTGAGGCTTTGCTTAATAGAAGTGAAAGAACTGATTGCAATGTTATTTTTGTGGTATATATTATTGTGCAACGTCTCCAGGGTCTGATAGAGATTGAAACCCCATTTGTGCTTTGCATCCTCCAGTTGAAAATGGTAGCATGAAGTAGTACTTTTGTAATAATTTATGATCAGGGAGAGTTACTTTGTGAATTCAGCCATTGATCAGGGAAAAAATATTCATTGGGTGTTGTGGAACACTGGCCTACACATAGCTGTTTAGACCCTTTTTTTTACACTGATCTTAATTTAGAATTAAGCAACGCGGTTCTAAAACAAAAAAACTGGAGCCCAGAAACGATCTCTTAAAAGTTACTTTGTAAATTCAGCCTCACTTTCTGGAGTGGGGAGTGAGGGCGTCCCACATAGTTGCTGAGGGAGTGTTGAGTTGTCTGAGGTGGTAGGACTGGTAGTTTTTAATATTTTTTCTTGGTGGGGGTGGGGAGGGAGAAAAATAGGATCCAAGACTATATGAGAAGATAAAATATGCATAAATTCTAAAAATTGGGTTGTGTATTTTTCTACGTTTGAAGTTTTGGCAGATTGAATGTAGGCCTCCATTTGTACCCTACATTGTAATTCAGAACGAAGCTAAGACTTATCATCCCTGTGTGTAAAGTTTTAAGTTGCTTTATTATTTCACAGTAACTGGTCTTCATCTTTGTTTTCATTTTACCGCACAGCCTTTGAACCGTATTCATCCCATTCTATACTCCTTGGTAAGCAACATTGAATTAGTCACTTTTCAGTTTTAAACCCACTTGTATTTTTCATTTCTGTTAGTTTGTGCTGGCCGCCATATCAATTAATTGATCGATGAGATCGAAATCACTGAATGTTAATTATTTGTTATTCATTTGAATGATTTCCGAACTTGTTAGACTTTCAGTTTATGCTGTGCTCATTAGGATCAATTAATATTAAAAATTCAGTGGTTCATCTTTTGGACAGTTGTTCTAATGATGCATGATGTAAATTGCTTTTCTTTCACACATCTTATTTAAAATGTGTTGATGTCTAATTAATTTCATTTCTATGCAATAGAAAGGTGCTTCTTTCTTGGCTTATTCACCTCCTTAGAATGTTTTATGAATGTTAAACATTTATCTATAATAAATAGATTTTGTTTCTTTGCTCATTACATTGAATAGTTCTGATATAGACCAGAATCTTTTCCAGTTTAAGCCTGTTATAATGTAACTTCTCCCAGACAGATATTCAACAATCAGTAAACCTCTCTGTAATAATCTCATATTGGAATGCATTCAGGTACTGTTTGTTTGCTTACACAGGTTAGGTTAAAATCTGACTCATTCATTCATGTCTAACACTGAATTTAAATTTAATGCAGCCAAATGTACACAAGTATCAATTAGCTCTTCACATTGCTATGAATTGTTGTAAGCATGTTTTTGAGCTCCAATCCTTGAACATTATCCCTTCATATTGACATATTTCCAATTCACAAGTTGTACATCTTGTTCTATCCAAGGGTGAATGCTATACTTATTCTGAGAATTGTTTGCGAAGTGAGCCTTGGAAATGTACAGTTACCGCAAACAAATCAGAATGTTTGAGAGCCTCCGTATTGTGCAAAATTCACAGCCCTGGGTCTAGCTGCTCGTTTACAGCCAAACTCGCGTTTCACTTTCTGAAGTTGACCTCAGCCCCAAGCACTATTTTCTTGGTGTGCTGGTGCACGCTGCACTCCAAGCATATTAACTTTGATGTCGATTAGTATTCCTGTGGCATTTTGTGAATCACCCAGTGAAGTCCTGAACGGTATGGGGTCTCATGCTTTCCTACAAAGGTAGAATGACTCAAAAGAATAAGGGTAATAAGTAGTCTCTTGATCCAGAAAGGACGCGAATTGCCCAATGCCAATTATTTTTCAGTCTCCAAATCCAAATTGGAAGTCACTTGTTAGCAGCTTTAATGAATTCTATGTAAAATTGTAAGGTCTACCAGCCAACTCCATTCCCCAGATTCTGCTGCTGGCAGGATACTTATCAGCTTTTCGATTAACAGCGAAGCAAACTACATTTCTTGGGAGACCTCTTTTGAATGCATATGGCCCCATACTAATGGGTTAGGTCAGCTTTATGTACTGACAAGTTTATGTCACAGATCTCTTGTGGTTGCAAGTGAACAATCTGATGTAATTGTTTCACCCTGCAAAACTTCACAGTGGTTGTATCTCAATGATGATTTATGTGAAGCATCAATATTTTACGTATGAAATGGGTTGTGATGGAGGACATCTTATGTCCATGATTAATGAAAGAAATGGCTCTTCAATCAATTCCTAATTTCTGTTGCACACATACCATTCTTTTCAAATATGCTATAGTCTAATTTAATAATGTGTATATCAGACCCCACCACATTCTTCAGAGCAAGTGACAAAGCAGAGGGAACGTCTAGAGCATTATTGCTGTGTTCTGTCACCTTCTTTGGCATAAAATTCTCCACCTTGGGGTATCACAGTGGCTCCTCTAAGAAGGGACAGAGTGCAGTCCCAGAAACAGATACTATTTCAGATGCTTTATATAAGCTTCGATCGATAGGGCCTGGAAATTTATCATAGTTCTTCTATACTAGTCAGAACTATTCTCCGTAGTCTATTATTTGTTTGGGAAAGAATGTGCAAAAGTTCATTTTTACATCCCCACTTCCTGACCAATATCATTGAAATTCTGAAAAAGAAATCGTTAAAACCTTAGTGCCAGGATAGTTATTTCTCGCCACTCTTGATTTGGACATAAAACAATGGATATTTATAAGCTCCAAAGTGCCCTTTCCTTGGGTGACATTATCCTTGGATGCCACAAACTGCAATTTGTTTATGAACCTGCTGCCACTTATGTTCAAACTCTCAGAGCCCCAGAACCTGTCAGTCACTCTTATGAATATTAGAATAGAATATTTCTATCGCGTTTTTTTCTTGTACTTAATTCCAAAGTAAAGTCACTTTCCTCTTGAAGTGGATCAGGATTAATGACCATTGTGATGACAGCTACAGAAGATAGGGTTCTTAGATTCAAATTTTAGAGTAGCTTCTCTGAGACCTGGATAGTGCTCAGACCTCCTACTCCTGCAGAACTCTTGCAGACTTCTGTTTCTGTTGAGTTTTTTTCTTCCAGATAACTTAGATCTGGTAACTTCCACCTAGGGACTTTCGGAGGAAAGACTGAAGGTACAAGTAACTACTATTAGTTGTAGTGGAGTAGTCAATACCACTTATTTGTTTTAGAAAACCTTCAACTAAAAAGCAAACCATAGCAATAGGTGTTTTTCACTATTGAGTATTGGAAAGCATGAATTTGAAGCCTAATTCGTGAGGCACAATTTGTTAGACTAGTTGATGTTTGAGGATTGTAATCCAACTTTCTTAAGGATTCATTTGGAAGCATTTCATCTCCAAATTCTCTGCAAGGAGCTACAGCAACACATACCCCCCCCCCCCCCCCCCCCAAAAAAAAAAAATAGGCAAGAATCCATCTCACTGCATTTCAGGCTTAAAGGTGAATTCTGATAAGAATTTTAGTCATGAAACATGTGGTAAAGTTGAAGCAACTGGAGAGTTTACATTCTGTCTCATTACTTTGGTTGC